TACGCGGCTTTAGGGTATCCCGAGAGCCATCCCAGCCGCACCTTAACCTACCGTCGCTGATGTTACAAGATAGTTGCAATGTTGTATTAGACGCGCATCGCAAGTCGGTGGCCGCTAGTTGAACCTAGTAGTAGATGCCTAAGAAACAAATTTGATTTATTCTAGAATATTTATTTTCTATTAATACTATATATATATAATATCTTTTTAAGCGTATACATAACAAATATAAATAAAATGTAAATTTGATTTCTTTTTCCAATTTGACGGAAATTTTTACGAACCATCTCAATTTCAATATGATTCGGAATGCAAATACCTAAACACAAACTACACTTAATTATGAAAACGATATACTTCATCAGGTTCCATATTATTTTGCCTATATCTTCTAGAATATTCCCTCCACTGTTGGCACTGTGCTCTTTGGTCTTTGTAATTCTTATATTTAAGAATGTTCAGTTTCTGCTTTCGTCGTAGGTATTTTAATCTTTCTTTCTCTTGCTCTTTTTCAGACAGCATCGGATCACTCTTGATTCTTCGATAACGCTCCCTCATGTATCTTCGTTTAGCTTCGCGTTTCTCCTCCACGGTTTTCGTTTTCTTGGGATGCATATATAAGAAAGCTGAAATCAATCATCAATGTTATATATATGAAATAATCATCAATGTTAGCTTTTATTATTCTGATAAAATAATACACCAACAGAACTATAAGTGAATATTCTCTATGTAATATGACCAGGTTCGTAAGAATTGGAGAAAAGAATTTTATAGCGTAACTTGTGACTATTTCTACATTATCGACATATTTGTACTAAAGTTAAAATAAAAGGTTGATGCTTATAGAAAGGAGTTACTAGCTACTAAATCAATTCAAAAAATTAACAAGCAATACTGCTCCAAATTGCCAGGGTCCTTAATTAATTTAAAATATAATTGCGTAGAGCCATATGATGGCGAATCACTTTTGGCGAATTGAAGACCCTAGTCTTCTAGTATTGCTTGTAGACACGATGAACCCAAGAAGACCTTATTCGAACCATATGAATTCATTTATTTACATATTTTACACATAGATAAGATGCCACCGTTACCGTAACAACCTATTAGAGTCCACTGCTGAACTTGGTCATAGTTGCCACGCTTGGCAAGCGGGTTGGCAACCGCAGTTTAATTTTATTTTTAGTCGTTATTATGAAGACGCTGCGGCCCATTCCCAGATTTGTTTCCCTCTGTCGCCTCTTACGACACCCATGGGATGATATGGGGTAGTGGATATTCTTTCACCGCCACTACACGGTAAGATCAGATACCACATTATGAATTATTTAATTTATTTCGATAAAAATATTTTTAAAATTCAAAGCTGCACGTTACTTGTACACCAGTGTAGTTTGATTGAAGTACTTTTTGAATTTGAAGTATCAAGCGACAACTAAAGAGAACACAGAAACTATCTGGTTAAAAAAGTTTTGTTTTATATCAAATAAAGTAAGTACATAAGAGAATTTCTAAATGTAATACCCATTCGAGGTCGTAATAACCATTCGAGTATTACGAATATTCGAAATCTTAATCAAGTTTTTTCTATTTAGATTACTCTGAATAGTACTCAAGTCTCGCCGCATCAGTAGCTAGGCGTAGGTGTAGACAACCGAAGACCATTTTCACTGGAAACGAGGCATTCCATCTAGACTTCAGGAGTGACAACGCATCTACATTTTAATACTTATTCGAGGACAGGTGTAGAGGTCTATGGGCTACAACAGCCACTTATCGTGAGGTGGACTGTGTGCTTGTTTGTCACCATTATTTTATAAAAAAAAATAGGAATAACAAATAGGCCACAACACAACTACACCCGACGTTTCCTCCATGATTCGAATCCAGAACCCGCTGGTCAATAGGTAACTATTAATAATAATAATAATAATCTTTATTTCGGACCAAAATCAATCCATAGTAGTGTTAGTAACAATTGACTTAAAAACTAGTGTTAGTAAAACATTAATGTATGGACAAACTTTTTCAAAATCGGAGAATTATAGTTCTCCGCTACTGTTTTGTAATAATATTTGTTTATTTTTAATTTTCACAGATTGTTAAAATAATGGTATTTCATTAAAAACGTACAATCCAAAGTTTACAGGTGTGATTTGTGAGTCATATTAAAAAGTTTACAGTTGATTTAACTAGTTCTTTCGCGTGCGCGCACCTACATACATATGGCTATGTGTGTTTTAAAATGAACAGAATTTAATCACTCACTCAAAAATTAATTCGCCTTAAAGAACATGCCAAAGTATTCCTTTTAAATATGGCGCACGCGTCAATAATTATTATTAGGTCTGAATATCGAGCCCTCCGAAAAAAATCACATCGCATGTTATCAATTGTGATCGATTTCATTAATCAACGGGGGCCGTTAGTCTGGCTCGCTGACTGCCATTGTCGTCTTGAATTGCGTCGAATGCGTCAGTCCGATGAACTTATTGAAGAGTTACAAAGTGAGAATTGAGTTTTAACACATGTGCTGTTCGATTTTCAAACACAATGCATATGTGGTACGTATACATACAGAACATAATATACTAAATTAGATCAGATAGAACATCAACAGTCTTATGTCAACGGCTGAATAAATGTCATTTCAAGAATGCCCTTTTTACATGATAGGTTATGGACGGGCGGCTTATGACAAGGACGGGTTATTTCAAACTTGTACCGACTAAAACTTCATGGTATTCCACATTTACCGCATATTGGTAGGGCCACGGAAACGTTTTCTTACTCATTCGCGGCCCCACCAACAGCAAGCAGCCCCTCCTCGAAAGAATACTACTTCTCCCCCTTTTCATTCTCAGATTTACTTGAGTTACATTAATTTAAAGAATTTCCTATACTAACCACGATGAGGAGGCAGGTTTCCTACATCACGAATTATACGCATAAGTGCGGTTAACACTTAGAAAAAGTTGGTATATTCATTCATACACGGCAAATTGTATAATTTTTATCTACACAAATAAATAAAATTTAAGTGTCTGTTTGTAATGTCGAAATAACAGCTTTTTACTAAATGCATATGAAAGTATATACGGTACTTATAACAAAAACACGATTTTTAAAATTTTGTCTGTCTGTTTGTTCCGGCTAATCTCCGCAACGGCTGGACCGATTTTGACTGGACTGGATTTTCACTGACAGATAGCTGATGTTATAAAAAGTAACTTAGGCTACTTTTATTTTAGAAAAAGAATTAGGGTACCGCGCAAAAAATTAAAACCTACGAAATCCAATCGTAATAAATTACGCGCGGGCGAAGTCGCGGGGAACCGCTAGTATATTATAATATTTTATTTTAGCAGGTGGTAGCACTCCTTGTTTGAATAGCAGTCCGTCTGAATGGGTACCAGTCTCTTATTCCTGCCGCTAAGCAACAGTGCGTGCGCTGTTGTGTTCCGGGTTCCGGTCTATAGGATAGTGTTCGTATAACTGCAGGCTTTGAGGCATTGCATCTTATTCCTCGAAGGTGACAACGCATTGTAGCCTCCTTTGTTCGATGTTGGTTAATGGACCAACAACCAACCAACAACGGGTTGCAGTAGCCACATATCATTCCGTACTCTGTACGTTTTTTTTTCGCTTCAATTTTATGAATAATAACTAGCTGTTCCCTGCGACTTCGCCCGCGTGTTATTTGGGGTTTTAATTTTTTTGCGCGGAACTCTAAATCTTTTTCTAAAGTAAAAGTAGTAGCTTACTCCTTGTGATATCAGCTATCTGCCAGTGAAAATCTCGTCAAAATCGGTCCGGCCGTTTCAGAGATTAGCCGGAACAAACAAACAGACAGACAGACAGACAGACAAAAACTTTAAAAATTGTATTTTCGTTATTAGTACCGTATATACTTTCATATGCTTTTAGTGAAAAGCTGTAATTTTGACATTACAAACAGACACTTCAATTTTATTTATTTGTATAGATATGCATGTTGCGATTTTTTCCCCAAATATTTGAATATGAATTGCCACGTAGTGGTAGTGTTCCCCATCTCGTCACGTTAGCATTAGTATTAGAGTTCGTTGCATAAGTAGGTTTGATGAAATATATCACTAAAGGAACAGTTAGAGCCTTCTTTAGAGCTGAGCACTGGACTCCTTAATACTATTATTTTTAGCCGACTTCAAATAAATGCTTTTTTTTGTTTGTATGTTACGTGATTACCAATTGTTAATCGATTTTAATAATTCTTTTTTATTAAATACGCTCAATGTATGAAGGATGAAATTTTTTATGTAATAATTTGGAAAACATTTAAATTGTTACCTTTCACCTATTAACTACATTCGCGACAGGACCCTGGTAGGAATCTTCATTTTACGCGATGTTTTTTTTTTCTTATATAATTTCGCTGAATTCTGACTTTGATAGCTTTCACAGGTCTTAACAGTACGGGGTCGTTTTGATCTTGTATGGTCTTGAACAGAATAACGTATGGTATAGGCTATAGGGGAAGGGAGGGCAAGAAGGTTATGGCAGGCAAAACGGATATTTTCTCTATACGAATAGTAATGTTAGACAGAGAAAGAAATAGTGCGTCATGGTGCAGTCTAGCTTATTGCGCGCTGATTCACTCACTCGCGATGCTCCGCGTGGTATGTTTGTGGAAGTAGTGACGTGTTATTGTTTTTGTTACGCGAAATTAAAAAAATAAGGTAAGTTGTGACATCATTTTATTACATTCTCTTAAGCTTTTATTATAAATTAATTTGTCGATGTTGTAAGGTATTTATCTAACGTTATTATAATGATAATTTTGATAAAAAGTAGTAACTGCGAGCGAAAGAAAGTTTAGGTTATTACTATAAGAGAGTAGAGGGCAAAACGGAACGGGCAAAACGGATCTCGATCCGTTTTGCCCTACCTTAAATACGAATAAGTTGAGTTTATTTTTATTCAATATTAAATGTAATTTGTGTTATTGCTACTTGCAGATGGTTAACAACTACATACGGAAGACCTCTAGGGCCTCTTGGTCGGAGGAAACAATGAAAACAGCAATTGTAGAAGCAAAAAAATCCTCAATAAAAAGTGCATCTCAAAAATATGGAATACCGTATACTACGCTGCAACGTCATGTAAAATCTAATAGTAGTATAAAGAGTCTTGGCAGTTTTAAGCCTGTATTTAATGAAGAGCAAGAGAAAATTTTAGAAAAACATTTAAGGGATCTAGATGCACTGTTTTACGGTCTGTCGAGAAATGAGTTTAAGGAATTAGCTGGTGAGTATGCTAAGCGACAGAATATACAAACGCCATTTAAAAACAATATTGTCGGTAAACAGTGGTTTAAAAAATTTTTAAAACGTCATCCCGATATTGTTTTAAGAAGCCCAGAGCCGACATCGGTAGCCAGATTATCAGCTTTTAACAAACCAGCTGTGACCCGATTTTATGATTTGTTGGAGACCATTGTCCAAGAGTATCATATCACTCCTAATATGATATACAACATGGATGAGACAGGTGTGAGGACCTCGTCTACAAAACCACCACAAGTACTTTCAGTACTTGGTAAGAAGCAGGTCGGCATGGTGAGCAGCTTAGAGAGGGGTACTTTAACAACAGTAATCTGCTGCTGTGGCGCAACAGGCTGTTACGCACCTCCCCCATTTTTTATTTTTAAAAGGAAAAGGTTTCAGCCACGTCTACTAGATGGGGCATGTCCTGGTAGTGAAGGCACCATATCAGATAGTGGATGGGTAAGTGGAGCAATTTTCTTAGAGTGGCTAATAGCTTTTGTGAGTTACGTGCGTCCTACGAGTGAATGTAAGGCTTTATTAATTCTAGACAATCATGAGTCTCATAAATTTTATCCTGCTTTAGAATATGCAAGAGATCATAACGTTATATTTTTGTCTATTCCTCCACACACATCTCATAAGTTACAGCCACTTGATGTTGCTGTCTATGCACCATTTAAGGTGGCTTTTGAAATTGAGATAAATAAGTTCCAAAAGCAGTATCCAGGGCGAGTTATTTCGCAGTATGAAATTGTACGTCTCGTTACACCTGCTTACTTAAAAGTAGCAACACCAAAAAACGCCATGAGCGGATTTAGAGCAGCCGGAATTTATCCGTACGATAGAAATGTGATAGATGAAGCACTATTCGCACCTTCTACTGTCTACGAGGCATCAATTTCACACTCTGCAGGCGAAGACCACAGGACTCCCACGCCTTCTCAATTAGAAACAACTGTTTCACCTATGACAACAGATACGATCGCCATACCACAGGCTTCAAAAACACCACACATTCTGTTCACTGTACCACCAGATGAAATTACTTCACTAGTTTTGACGACACCACCTATTTTGGCACACGTACACACACACGAGATCATTCCTCCAGAACAGACAACACCTGTTTTGAAGACTCCAGAAAAGACCCAATCTACGTTGACAGCTCCACACATTCCCACAGTACCAAAAACCATTGATTATTTTACTTCATACAGCGCGGAAATACTCAAAGAAATTCATCCATTGCCCCAGCAACAGTTTAAAAAACAAAGTAGGGGTAGAAAATTACAAAAATCTGAAATATTAACCAGCACACCTGTAAAAACCATACAAGAAGATAAATTTAAAAAAACAAGTTTTAAAATAAACCTTGGAGCTTCTGTGTCTGGATTAAAGAAGTCAACAACCGGCAAGAAAAAAGACTTTTCGAAATTAAAGACAAAGAGTGCAGAAAAGACAAGACGAGGTAAAGAAAATGAAGAGAAAAAATATTATTGTACTGTGTGCAAGGACTTGTATACCAGTCCCCCCATAGAAGACTGGATTGAATGCTCTCAATGTCGCGAATGGACGCATGAGAGTTGTTCGTCATACTCGGGACATGGTTCCTATTTTTGTGATTTTTGTAGTGATTAGTTTCCGAATGCTAAGGGATATATCCGTTTTGCCCTCGAAGTATATCCGTTTTACCTACCCTAGTAGGGCAAAACGGATAGTTCAGAGACTTTTAAAAAAAAATTAAATGACAATGAAGATGTTGATTTTTATATTTTTTTATTTTTATTTTTAAACATTATTAACCAGAGTTTGGTTTTGTTTTAATTTCAGTACATGTTATTTGATTATAGAATGTATTTTTATTATTCAACCTTAACGGATCCTTCTTGCCCTCCCTTCCCCTAGGCTATAGGTACACCACAATAGCGTTATACAAACACATACGGCTGATGCCTTGCTTTTAAACGTTTTAAAAAGACTGACGGTCGTACAGCCACTTTATGTAAAGCTACAAACATTCTGTTTACTGAACACCTCACTTCAAAATGAAATTTAACAATCACAGTTCAAATTAGATCAGTGTAACCAGGTTCTTTATCGTTCCGTTTCTGTCGTACGTGGCGATAGAGAAAAACAAATCAGGAGATGGGCATCAGCGTCTTCCTATTAACAACTAGCAAATAAGCTGCGATAGCCAACCCACCTACCAAGCGTGATTACTATGTTAAATATCGCCTTATGAAATTAAAACTAAACCCTTCGGGGAACTATAAAAAAGCCTATGTTCAGCAGTGGACTTTTCATAGGCTGTAGCGACAACTGTAATCAGGTTCTTTGCTTTTAATAATAATTAACTTGTTTTACTAAGCTTTACACGATAGTATAGTATTACATAGTGTATGAGATATATGTTTCACAATAGAACAATTTGTACCTACCTACATTTTTGCCAATGTTTCGTAATTTGATGACTGCTGATGTCAAGTTTGAGCGATATGGAAGTTTAGAAATTAAAAATTCTTTGGACGATGCTTACAAAATGTAATATCCCTTTGTCGTTTTGTTATTTATAAATGCTTATGCTATTTTATTTATTATATATGTATTTGTTAAGCCAGCAGGCATGATCTCCAGACATGAATAAAACGATCTGTATAAAAATCGTGCGCCGGGTTCCCACGGCCACGGGCGGCAAGTCCACATCGATGGCTGTATACTTCACTCCGCTACAGCTGTAGCCGTGATGGAAGACACTAATGTGACAACACAAGTCACATCCTAAACGGATAAGGACGTTTTGCTAAATTAGCAAATTAGCGTCATTCCATCGGGCCTCTTGTAATCGCACTATGGCATTTAGATCTCAAGTAACAGGTACGTCGGCAGTGGTTAAAGCCCGATGGATGATTTCATTAATGGTATGGCGTGACACGACCAGTGTTACTGTGGCATACCAGACCGTGATGATCCAGAATGTCGATCTCTCATACAGCAGCAGCGATGAAGTTAATTGGTTTTTATGCCTATTCTCAGGCCCTGTCCAAGAGTATTCGAAGAAGGTATTCAACCAGAATAGTAAATAAAATTTACTAATTAGTTATAATTGTGTTCCCGCCTAATGGGTATAGAAAGCCAGTATGACAGGGTGTGAGGCATTCCACCTTGGTCCTCGAAGGTACCAACGCATCTGTAGTCTTCTTCTGATGTCCATGGAGTGCAATAAATACTTGCCATCAGATGCAGTGTCATTTGTCACTTACTATACTTTTATACGTGGTAGAGCCATACTGCTGCTATATTAATTGTATAGATGTATCACGGGTCGGCTCGGCCGGGGAAGGACCACGTTCTCATAGAATACCAGCGTAAAATAGCAGCTTAATGCTGCTGTGTTTTATATGGTGAGTGTAGAGAACCGGAGACCCTTTTTACTGGACTTGAGGCATTCCATGTTAGTCCTCACGGCTGATAACGCATGTGATTCGCAAACGAGAACAGATGTAGATGTCTATGGGCCACAGCAACCATTTACCATCGGGTGGACTGTGTGCCCGCTTGTTACCCTTATCCTATAAAAATAATACTACCCTCTACAAACAAATAGCTTCATGTAGAAGATTCTTTTCTGCCGACTTCCAAAAAGGAGACGGTACTCAATTCGAGTGTATGTTTTTTTTTGTGTTACCTCATAACTTTGTACTGGGGGAACCGATTTCGATGATTCTTTTTTTATATGAAAGCTGATAGTTCTCGTGTGGTCCCATATGAATTCGATCAAGGTCAGACCAATGGTTATTGAGTTATTCTTAAATAACTTATATTGAAGTCGGCTGTACAAAATTTTTAATTTTAAATTATTATTATTGATTTATTACATAGTGAACTCAAGATCATTGAATTTTTAATTTTTCAATAATACCTAAGTATGACATAGGTACTCGTAAATAGTTTTGAGTCACAAATTAAATTAAAATACAGGGTTCAGTTCCACCTCTACCAATAAACATTTATTTTTAAATACTTTTAACAAATTACCTTATCTTTTTCACTTACGTGCGAAAACTCTTTAGACGGACTCGTTAAAGCAAAGAGCAGAGCGTCACAGATAAGAAGGAACACCGATATAACTAGATATGATTAGATTGCGTACTTGCGTGGGACATTCTCAAAAATAATGTAACATATTTATTTACATAATATAAAATTGTTTAACTAGTGATAACTCACTATATACTATGGCATATTGTATTGAATGTCTCCTTAAAGGAAGTTTAAATTTATATTTTCACAATATTACAATGTTCGAGTCGAATATTATAATTGTTTGTAAAGAAGTAAACTGTTATATCAACTATGGGCAAATACAGGACACGGAGTCTTCTTTTATTTTAATTGCATTTTATCGCAGTCATTTATTATTTTATGTACATCAAGTTACAATTCAAATAAGTATTACGTAATCATAATTCAGTTAGCTTACTAACCCACACAATAGGAATAATGACGTAATCTTTCGTTAACTAAAGTTCAGAACTCTTTAAACTTTAAACCCCAAAAAATTATTATAATGAATATGGCCATAATTTTGACTGGGTTTATTTATGTGATAATTACAGAAATGCTGGATGAAAATGTGATTGCCAGCATCAATAATAGCAAAATTTATCGCTCCGGCTATTTTAAGCTCTTAAATGATGTATTGAGGTCGGTAGAGTTATACTTACATAAGGTCTTAAGTGTTCCACGTAAAAAAACTAATTAACTTTTACAAAATGGAACACAATATATTTTCTATTGATAGGGCTATAAAATAGGAACTGTAATAAAAGAAATAAAAAGAAAAAATAATAATCGAAAACATACGTTTTGCAGGAACTTAATCATTGTTTAAACATTTATACGTGGTAGAGGCATGCGACAGCCATATTAGTAGTATGTAGTAGCACGAAGGGGTCGTCTCGACCGGAGAAGGAACACGCTCTCACAGAATACCACCGTAAAATAGCAGCTTAACGCTGCTGTGTTTCGTATGGTGAGTGTGGATAACTGGAGACCCCTTTTACTGGAAATGAGGCATTCCATCTTAGTCCTCACGGGTGACAACGCACTTGCATTTTGACTCGTAGTCGAGAATAAATGTTTGTAGTTTGTCACCCTTATCATTAAAAAAATAAAAAATAAAATATCTAACACAAAATCGCAAAGAAAATTGTGGACTTTGCCCGCGTGTAATTTAGGTTTTTAATTTTTGCGCGGAGCCCTAATTATTTTTCTAAAACAAAATTAGCCTAAGTTACTCCTTATAACATCAGCTGTCTGCCAGTGAAAGTCCCATCAAAATCGGTCCAGCTGTTTCGGAGATTAGCCGGAACAAACAGACAGACAAAAATTTAAAAATTGTGTTTTTGTTATAAGTACCATATTGATATGCATTTAGTGAAAAGCTGTTATTTTGATGTTACAAACAGACACTTCAATTTTATTTATTTGTATAGATTAGCTTGATACACACGGCCAGTTAAACTGATCAGTCAAAACGGTTGTCGGCCAAAACGACTTTCCACACACAGGCTTCAAATTTCGTCTTAAGATTTCACACTCAGGGTCAGTTTTTGGATGTAAGTCAGTTTAACTGATCAGTTTCAGTGCGCCCAGAAAAATCAGTGAATTGCCGTCAGTTCAACTGATCAATTTAACTGAGTATGTATGTATGTATGTTTATTTTGTATGCAGGCTCTGTAGCCAAAAAGGCTTGATGGATTTTTGGGGAGTCGTCAAGTATTCGTCTTAGTTGTGAAAGTGATACAGAGTATAATATTTGTTTTTACCTCTTTTCAGTAGACATTTTACGGAGATGGAATTTTTAAATCACTGTTTTAATATTTTTTCAAACCAGTGTTAATATTTCTTCCTTTAAGGTCTACATAAAATGATTGTGTTACTCTATATATTTTGATAAACGATGCTAAAATGTTAGGTAAGACAGTGGTAAGACCGTTGCTGTTGAAATGTCAAATAATACTTAATACTATTTTTGTAGTTATTACGTTTTATTTTTATATAAGTCTAACTGAACACGGCAAATGTCTTGCCAGTTAATATCATAGGTTGCGTTCAGCTACGTTTTTTATTTTAGCGCTTGCAATTTAATTTATTAATAATTAATTTTAAAAAAAGCAAATAAAATCAAAAATTTTTAATTTTGTTTAATTTTTTTTTTTTAGTTTATAAATATATACCTTAAAATGGGGTGAATAGAGACAACTTTCAACTTCTACACTGTTTTCCTTACATATATTGTTCAAAAGCTGATAATAAAACACTTTAATGTTGTGTCTTGTTGTAGTTTATCGAGTACTAATGCTTCAATCGAGTAAAACATGCAAATTCATTGTATTTTAGAAAAAAGTAGTCTGTTTCTATTTAACGGGAATCCGGGGTTAATAGATACGACATAGGAGTGAATAGAGAAAAATGCTAGAGTTGTCAAATTTGCTTTTGTTGTAGAATGTAGGTCGAGTCAAATAAAAAAAAAATGTAACTAATGTAGTTTGTAGTTAAAATAGTTATTATAAAAAATAATTAGTTAATAAATCTGACATTTATACAATTACATATTATATAACTTAAAATATCGGAAAAATGTAATTTAACTGCTTTGCAGCGTAAGCATTTCCAACATAAAGCCATTGTTTACATAGTTATGATCATATTTAATTTTTTTAAATAATGAAAATAAAAATGTTCCAAAGTTTGTTAAACTATAAAAGACTAATTATAATACTATGTGCTTTTATTAATAACTTATTTAATTATTAATAAAAGCACATAGTATTATAAGTTTATTTTAAGTAGTGAGTAACAAGGCGAGATCAAAAATCACTATTACTTATTTATAAAATTATGTAAGCTGACATAATTGCGGAACTTGAGGCTGATAACTCGCGTCACACCTATTCCACACCGCTTAAATACTTTTTAACTCGTATACCGAGTGTCTCTGTTAAACAATAAAATACAAATATAATGAATGATATATCTACTACTAGATAGAACTAATTCATATGAGCACACTAAGTATATTTACTGCAGGAACTTCTATCTGGTGTAATGGTAAAACCTCAAGTATTTGGAATTTTAATGTATAACAAATATCAAAATTTAACATTTATAATAGAAATGTACATTTAAATACCTTTAATATGGTTTAAACATTTTTTATTTTAGTTTCAACTAGCTACTTAAATTAATTTATGTAGTAAGTAAGTGGTGCCCAAGGGCGATATTCATCTTTATATTAACGATAGATGAAAAACTCAACTCTCTAAAAAATAATTTGCAACAAGGAAATTTAGCTAAAAGTTTTACACAGCATAAAACCACTTGTACTAAAACGTTTATAATAACAGCCTTTCTCTTTACTGTCATCAAAATTGACACTAATTTAAAGGTTACCAAAATAAAGTAAAATGTAGGCAAATAATAAGCAGTAGTAATAAACAAACGTTCCCGAGCTGTAGACAAACCTAGAGACAACTTTATCAAATAACCAGACTTGTATCTATTCACCTCACGATTTCTATTCACCCCATCTTACGGTATACGAGTATAGCAATTTTCATGGTGATTGACCAAATAGATTTTGAGTTAAACAATTTCCTTTAGACAAACATCCTCTTTTGTATGTTTAAATAATAAAGAAATTATTATAATAACACATGAACATCTAAAATTGCCGTAGGTTTTTTTTTTGAGGGGAATTTAGTATAATATATGAAAGTTACTCTGCGATAGTTGTGCAGAAAAATATACAGTGTATGTTGCGAAGACAGGTAAAATACAGTGAACAGACACACATGAAGGTCAAATATTCACTAGACACAATACTCTCTCACTACAGCTCATCACAAGTCCACAGCCGAACATAGGCCTTCCCCACAGTTTGCACAAAGTATGGTCTTGAGCCACCAACCTTCGTGTTTGCTAGTTCAGCTTATTGGTCCGCACTACTATGTCAGAACAGGCTATGCACTGAATTTCTGTAGGATAAAATCCATGATAATAATTGGGTTACCAAACTAAACTTTGTAGTTGAATGGAATTTCATTCCTATAATGATAAATAAATAAAACACACTGAAAGGCAGTTAATAATATTAGTATATTAATAATTTTATATTTACCAAAGTAAAATTTCTATCTTCAATTTTTTTATTTATAAAACACTAACATAAAATCTCAAAAACATCTAATATACTTAATGGACAGTGAAACAAGGTTTCAAAATACTTATAATTTAATACCAAGTTACATTGTTTTGGTTTATGATGGTGCGCCTCTGTCAGGGAGCGGAGGTAGACTATAAGATTTACCATCAGGGGTCATCCAACAAGTTGGAGGGTCATGATTATGCTGGCCAATACTTGCAGTTACTTTACCAGAGTTGTCTATCCGAAGTTTTGCTGGACAACATCGACTGAAGAAATACCAACAATACCATAGTTGACTGCCATATGCTCTTTTGTACATAAACCGGAATGTGTGATTTTGGTATATGAATAACTTGGAATTGCCTCTTGTATTTATAAAAATTCCTGAAATAAAAATATAATTGTAATTTTTGAAAAACAATGAATATATCTAAATAATTAAATTGGTTAGAGTAAAAATAAAACATCAGTTACACAAAACATTTTATTTTTATAATATTCATAATGTTTTAAAAATAACATGTCAGGGAACTGTTATTGTATTTACAATAATGTGATATTTTTGCAATGAATAAAAAAATACTAAAAAATGAACAAGTTAAAAAACAAATTTAAAGTTACATGCAAATCGAATTTACTACATTTTATTAGCATAGCGCTATGTTATATGTTAGTATAAGACAGGACAAAATCTTAAAATAATAGTAACAAGATGTTCATATAAAGTACGATACAACTTTTGCACGATGTTTAACACTTATATATTTTTGATGTTATACAATTTACAGCCAAATAAATTCAGAAAAATATAATTCAAAGGTAGCTTTAGTAGATACACATCACTATCTTTAAATTAATCTGTTTACACATTACTAAAAATATTTTTCAATTCTGATTCTGATACAGTTTAGGTCAGCTAGCGTGCTAAACACGTTTGGACGTTTGACATAGACAACAACTATGTTTGACAAATGACATTACCATAGATAAATAGATATGTAGCAAGCTATAATATAGACAATACAATGTGACACTAAAGAGTCTAATAATATATAGTAGGCATGAGACCAATATATCAAAACGTAACTAATAACGCTATGTTATCAAAATATCATATCATATCGATAAATCTAAGTACATAACTGTTATCACATATCCAACCAAAACCAACTAACCAACGTGCGAAACGTAAAACGAAACCGGAACGATTTCGTCGTTGCGCGTGCAATACCGCGGAAGAGCAGTTTGTAAATACCGCGTAACAGCAAAAAGTGCAAAATTGAAATTTCGCGGCTACAGACCCTTAGCGCTGATTCGCTTATACTACTTCTCACACAATTTGAATTAGCCAATAAGAAACGTCATATTTCAATCAAAACAATACCGCGTAACAGTACTTGCGTTTGAAGTTGGCTGCAAATCCGCGTATTTACGAAATGGGCGAACAAATTGAAACACGATTAGTGCGTGCTCTCGAAAATAATTATTTTGTAGTGAATAATAACCACGTAAGTACGTTTTTATTCTTTATAGTGTTTAGTTTTTAATGTATTTATGCTTGAATAGAGTAATTAAGTACAATTCTTTAGTATTTTTATGATTGTGAGTAATAATAACCTGTAACACGTAGTTAAGTGGTATTGATACTACATTATACTAGTTGTGTTTATCATTTACGCGGTATTGCATTATATTAAATTTGTTTTTTTTTTAGATACAAATAATTTGAAGTAACCGAATAATGATGGAGGACGGAGAAAATGAAGAGTTTTTAGAGAATGTTGATATTAACGATGACGTGGTAACTTTAAGAGATCTATTTGAAAGGCGAAAAATATTGTTGCGAAAAAAGAAGGAAATATTGAATAAACAATATTATGCAAATAAACTTGCTGCAGAAAATCAGCAACAAGAACTAGTTTCCGTTCCTTTGTCAGGGGAATTAGAGCAAGAACCTCCGAACCAAAATTTGACATCCGAATTGACTACGCTTACAACAATATTGGATACTACTTCAACACAGAATAGAGATGAGAATATTACTTCTATTGATGTAAACATTAATATAGTGGAGCCTAATAAAAATGACCTTGAATTTTCGTCCGATGATTCAGTCACTGATCCTTCATTTGTCGCCCTCTCAGACATAACAAATTTAAAGCCACTATCACCAGCAAATACGGAGTGGTTTCCCGAAAGGGAAATAGAAAATACGGCGAAGAAAAATGGAAGAAAGCGGAAAGGGAATCCTAATAACTGGAAAAGAATAATAAATAAGCAGCAAAGGATGATGGGCGATACATAGTTATAACTCAAAAATACTTGGAAAAGGGCCACACTCAGATGGAAGTCGATTCGTTGCACTCGGTGATCGAAAGAAAATTGAAAAATCGAGAAATATTTCTACCCTCACAATACGCAACAATCACGAAGGAGGCCAGAAAAGTGCCGAGTCCTTACCAGGTTATTACTCCTGATCATACATTTTTTTAAAACTTTGCTCATAAAGATCACCTCATTTATGATTCAATAAGACCTGGTCGTGGGGCGGGTGATCGTGTCGTCATGGACATAAGGGCCCTAAGATACAGTCCTAGTGGGACAATTGATTTTAAACTCCACTTTGTAGACGATTTTGTTCCTTTACCTAGGAGACCAAAAAAGATATTATCTGACTCTTTAATTGATTGCGTAGGTCCATTGTATGAATCCAGACAACCAATATCCAAAACAAAGTATGATCACCTACAGGAATTGAAGAGTGTCATACCTAAAGACTGTCATAGTTTTTACGATAATTTACCTTTTAAATAATATTCCTAATAACCAAGATCTTAAATGCTGTGATTATTAATCGTTTTAATGAGAATTTAAGAACTAAGATAATAGAAGTACTTCTACGTCTAAGATAATAAGAATATAAGAGCATCCAGGTGTAATGATTGCCATATTTAATTGTTAAAGCTTTTAATAAAAAAAAATCGTATTCGTCCAAGAAACTAATTAACAAAGATTGAAATGCTGGGATTTTAGAAGATCGAGGAGGCTGATTAGTTTATTATTCTTAATTAAGTGAACGTAATTGTTTTATTGTAATTAGAGAAATTCAGGGATTGTGTGATTAAATTGATATCTAGAGTAAGAGTTATTGTTTTTTTTTTCTAAGAAGATGTATAATTTTGTATGTTTTTTTCTACTATAATATATCATAATAAATTCAAATTAATAATATAATATTATGTATTTTATTTTAAGCCCGCGTATCTCCTAAAAGTATAGTATTTAAATGTAATTTGCTGGTAACAAAACCGCGTAAGTGACTTTACACGAAATCTAAACAAGTTTCTAGTACATTTACGTTAAATTTCTATAAAATAAGTAACAAAGAAGCTGCTATAAAGTTCAGTCGGTAATATAATTATAAATTACCAAGTTATTAAGTTTTTTCTTCTTCCTGTAAAATTCTAAAAATGTAGATACGCGGTATTTACAAACTGCTCTTCCGCGGTTTTGCACGCGCTACGACGATTTGCCAACACGGCCCAAAATAAACTGTACAGAGGAAAGCTTCTAAGGAGCTTTAACTATTTTGCTAGGGTTGGCACAGGAGGATAAAATAAGTAACAAAACGTTTATCAGCTTTTATTATATGCTTAAAATACAATATATTTTTAAAATAAAACTTTTTCTAAATATTTTATTTTTATTATTTTTTTCTTCAACAATTTGTTGTGCCTTTTAATTAAATGGTAAGTTTTTTACGGTTTAATTTTTTTGTTAAAAAGTTTTTATTTATAATCGAAAAAATTTAAAGGAGATTTTCTCGTGCGACACCTTTTTACCGCTGTTGTCGTCTGAATTTATAATTGAAAACATGAACATGTTGTTAATATATAAACTCAATTATAAAGATTATAAAAAAAGTATTATTGGTAATAAGGTACTTTTACGTTTTCTTTAAGTTTTGAGGTATATATATGAGATATCTGCTACATTAAAAATAATCAATTATAGTTTAGTTACTACTTACCTAGTGGAGTCTTTGGGATAGTTAAAAATGATATATTTTTATTTATTCTATTATTGGTGCAAAATCCGTGTTCATACAAACAGTACAGTAAACCATATTTACACTTTTTTATACTTCATTCGATATGAATAATAAATCTATGAAAAATAAAATTTGACACTTATTATTCTTTACATAACCCTGAATTTGAGCACTGGCCGAGCCGATTAAAAGCAGTTTTTCTCTGTACGAGACGAGCCACCAGTGCTCACGCAAACACGCGCGTCTAGTTTGTAGTAGTGTTATTATTATAGCGCGGTTGTATGAAGCTTTGCCTCTGTACGATACGGTTTCTTTAGTCATGTGCTAAAACTAACCGATATCCTTCGTTGATATTTGTTGTTTCCCGTTCTAGCGACGGTATCATAAATACGTATGAAAGAGATGAAGCGAATTTATATTTCGTTGCGATGTTTTGTTACTTACCAACAACTGTGCACATAGTGAAATATAATTAATTACCAAGTGCAATAAGGTCGAATTTTACATGGTTAAAATTGCCTAATTTTGAAGTTTGTGTAGTTGTGAGAGTTGTCAAATTTAAATGATATTTAGAACATTAGACGCAAGACTTAGATTTGTATGACCATATTATATTTGGTTTAGGCAACTTTTGCTTATGTTTTGGATGGAAAGTTTAGAATTTGAATTTTTTTTACAAAACGTAACAATTACGTACTTGACCTTGGTGGTGAGTGCCATTCACTAAGATATTATCTATAAAATTATAATTTTTTGACGTTACCTTTGTGCATTTATTTGCAATATATTTGTGTGCGTTTTGTACATTCGTTTTAATTCAGACAATTATGTGTAAAGTGAAAATATAGTGTAGTATAGTTTTTACTTTTAAAACCAATTTATGTGGGGGCAATCCAGAGAGCTTAAGGAATTAAGAAATTATGTCGGTAAATTAACAACATCTTCCAGATCGAGCACAGTGTCTCTAGAGTGTCTTAAATTATTGTGAGTGAATTAAGTTCCCTTGATGGTTAGTAGTTATATAATATACAGGGTTATTTTTCAAAGAGTATCCAATTTAAATTATACAAGTGCTCCTCTGTGTGCGAGTCAATTCACAACGTGTTTGCCATCCGAGCGACCCTTATGAATGCGTGCGTGCGTAGTAAAACAGGTGGTCGTTTGATATTTATGAATGATAACCAGTTAAAATAATGCATCTTGAAAGTCATTTACTAAAATGGAAAGACTTTCATTGTCATGATTAATTCTTTCATTGTCTTGTGGCATAAGCCTATTTTCTTCTTGAGCAACAACTTCACAAAATGCTGGTTTGAACAAAATGAAGGAGGCCGCGGCATTGGCGTGCCGGCCAACCATTTCGCGGTGTG